CGCAGGTCCCGAGCAAAGCGGAGCACAGGGATACATGTCCAGTCTTGTTTCAGCTCTCCATGATCAGGTCCATCCACGTGAGCAACGAGCACAATGTACCCAGCCAAGCCAGTGCGCCTGACATTCCTTTTCCTGCAGAGGCAGAAATCAAAAGATGGCACGGAGCTTGTCAGTTGTGTGGGCTTACATGTACATCACGGTCTTTGCAGAAACACTTTGAGACGGTGCATGCTGAGTCCTGGAGCATGTTGGGGCCACGGGTCAAACAGCTGTGTAGTCAGTGGACAAGTGGTCTGGGCAGTAAATGTCAATTCTGTCTAGGTGGCTACGGCAAGAAGGTCAAACATGCCAACAGCTGCTCTGAACTCCTACAGAATGCGTTGTACAGTGTAAACCGGCATCGACAAACACACGACGCTGGAGCCACATTGCCCGACCATCATGACGGAGGAGTTGGCCACGGCGGCCATGCAGTTCCAGGAAGTGTTCGGTCCGGTGTTGGGGAAGCGGTTGCTGCAGGAGGAGCCGAAGGAACAGGACAGACCGAGCAAGCAGAACAAACCGGCCAACAGGGGACCCAAAGGCAAAGGAAAGGGCAAAGGAGGGGGAAAGCAGTTCCGAAAGCCGCAGCACCAGCCCAGCAGCTGGAACAGTGGATACAGCGGGGACATGGACTGGCTCGTGGACGCCATCCAACTGATGGCCAGAATGATGGTGAGACAGGAGGATGTCCTGCACGTCCTCAGGCAGTCGACCGGGTGGGTGTGGTGGCTAAGCATCTCCACACCAACCATAGTACCGGATCTTTTCCAGGCGGCGCAGGTGTGGCGGAAGGAGGTGTCCCAACCCGACAGCAAGATGGCCAACACCAGTCTCCGATCGGCGCTCTTCTGGTGTCTGCTGCACCAGCTGGCAGCGACACTGGGGAGCATGGACCAGACGAAACTGGCGGAGGCGAACAAACAAGGCTGGCTCACGGCGGAGGGCAGATGGGTCTACCAAACATGGTCGGCAGAAAATCAGCAGCTCATGGTGGACGAAACAAAGCCGGGCATGACCACTCAGGAAGTCGTCCATCTACTGAACGACATGCAGGGCTTGGTGAGCGGCGACACAGTATCGCGCTTTCACTCAACGAGGCCACTAGTGGAACAGATGTCGGGGCACATGCTCACCATGGTTATGGACATATCGTTCCGCAAAGCCTCAGCGAATGCGTTATACAGCAAACTGGAGAAACTTCAGGGAAGTGCGGCGCTACAGGTGTGCGGAGTTCAGTATCGCAAGGAAGGCTTCAAGCGCTCGCCGGGAGCGCAGAGGTTGCTGGAGCTCGTGGCCTAGGCCTAGTCCGAACCCTGGTTTTACGGAATCCTAGCAACTATTGCTACATCAACACTGCGGTTCGAGGTCTACTCTGGTCGCTTGTCTCGCTCGGGCAGTGGGCGACAGTCTTCACGAGGACCGGAAAAGAAGCACTTAGCCTCATCCTGAACCATCAGCAGCGGTCCCTCTTGATCATTGGCATTCCTATGTGGAGGCTGCTGCTACACGACTGGGGGAACCCACATATGCAACACGATGCGTCGGAGTTCCTGTCTTTTCTGCTGTGTAAGCTAGGTGCCACACGACTCACATGCCAGTGGGAAGCTCGGACCACCACAGACGAGCACTGCCAGGTTGTGGACAGGGGCGATTGCGTGGAAGCAATCACGCTGGATTTACCCGGGGAGGTCGGGTCCCATGCCATGCAATCGCTGCTGCATCACTGGCATGCGCAAGCACATGTTCATGCGCTGACAAATGCAGGATCACTGCTTCTCTTCAGACTAGCCAGGTATGCGACGGTGGATGGCCACACAGTCAGGCGCAGCGATGTGATCACATGGTCAGAGCGACTGTACATACCGGTTTTCGATGGCCAGGGGCAGACCACGGAGGTTCATGAGTACACAGTGCAGGCCGTACTCCTACACCACGGCGCATCCTTACGCCACGGGCATTATACCCTGCTCATGCATGCTTCAGATGCGGATTTTCACAGTGATGACGGAATACAACCACAGCAGCAGCCTAAGCCGCGGAGTCGTATACACACATCGGCGGATGTCTACATGTTCTTCTGCAGGAGGTTGGATCCTGGGGGAGAAGAGTGATGATCAGGGGCGGGGCACTGCTCCATTAGGCTGCAACTTGTACAGTGTTGCAGTGGCGGGGAGCAGCTCGAGGGGTATTCTCTTTGTTTATACACACATACAGTTTCTGGCGACTGGATGCAAAACATCTGTACAGCTCGCATACCATTGTTACGCATGTTCGGTGACAAGCTGTGCCTTGCGTTGACACTGTCGCTCTTTATGCTTTCGTGCTTATATAGAGTTCTTGTGCCTGATCGCCCCAATTATTCTCGAATCACAGTTTCACGAAATTTCGGCCACATCCCTGGTGACGATGTTCCATGGCTACAGGCTGTGAAGACTCGGATGTGACCTTGCAGGTGTTGCGACTTCCTGCCCCGTGGTTTGAGACAGCACTTACGCCTGAGATGTATTATTATGACCCTCGCCCGGACGACGACATGCCGGATGACGATGCCACCATCATTGACTCTTCTTTGCACAGCAGCTCCAGTCAATCATCTATGGCCACCGATTGTTCTTGCTGCTCTGACGGGTTTGCGATTGAGTTTGTTCTTGTGCGCACGCTGACAGATGCTTTCACTGACATGGGGGAGCGCGCCAACCAGCTGGCATACACCTGTCTGCATACAGGGTTCGTGACCTTTAGTCAATTACAGCAGCTATGCCTTCTTCTACCAGTCGATGCGAAGCCACGCAAACACATGGTGGATAGCAGTCACTCCTACTCGCGCTGCCAGGAGTCCCGGTGCTTTACAACAGGTGCCTACATCTTCGGTGGCGAAGCGGGGATCCGAACAAGCATGCGTACTTATTTGTGGGTGACGAGGCTACTCTGCTGTATAGTTAAATCTGCTGCGGGTTCGAGGCCCTTTACAACTGTCACACTCTCGCTGAATCAGCAGTCTGGGGTACATGTGGATGCACACAACAGCCGGACTTTTCAAAATATTGTGATTCCGGCCGGCTAGTGGGACGCTGGCGAACTTTGGGTCTCCAGTGACCGTGGCTGCATCACATTCCCAGGTACCGAGCTACTAGGCGATGTTGTGCCAGTAAGACACCCTTTTACCTTGCTGGATGCAACGCAGCCGCATGCAGTGTTTGACTGGACGGGAGAGCGGACGGTCGTCATTGGTTTTCACATACGAGATGCATGGAGACTTCAACCGGATGATCTCGCCATGCTTGCTGATGCTGGCTTCCATGTTCGGACCTGTGAGCGAGTGACTGACCCATACATGTCGGTCATCGAGGTACAGTGACTGCCGCTTGTAGCGCCTGTCAGTTCAGTTGTCAACCACTGCTGCTGAAGCGTGAGCTTTTCGGCACTTAGAGGGCTGCTTCACTTAGTCTGCCGCTGTTGTCTGCCGCTGTAGCCGAGTTTTTGTTTCTTACTGTAAGAGGGCTCCTGCTTGCACAAACGCACGCAAGTGTTGAAAGAGCCAACTCCTGTCGCCTCGAAGTTTTGACGAACCTTTTGTACTCTGTGTTCTAGTGTAGTGGGAACCGTGCACTTGTCGCTAGGGCATACGTGCCGGACTTGTTGAGCACTGTCTAACAGTGCTAGGGGCCAAGCGTCCACAGAGACGCCAGGTTGCGAAAACCTGTAGTGCCTGAGCTAGGCGACCTTCGAGGACGCTGCTGGTGAAAAAAAAAAGCTTCATTAACAGCTGCTGTGGCACTACCGAGAAGGTACAGGTCGATAGCATCGACGAGCTCCTTGCAGTGTGCCTGGAGTGGTTGCGCCAGGGTGTGCCTGCAGAGCAGGCACACCGCATCGTAGGCAGAACGTGGGACCTCAAAAGCGCCTACAAGCAGCTTGCAGTGCAGGCCTCGCGCAAAAAGTTTGCTTGCGTCGCAATGGTTGACCCACAGAGTGGGAAGGTCAAAATTGCTCACCTGCACAGCATGCCGTTCGGTGCAGTCGCGGCCGTGCATGCCTTCCTGCGCTGCAGCGAAGCGCTCAAAGCAATCGGGCGCGAGAAGCTCGCATTAGTAATGACGAGCTTTTTCGATGACTTCACGGTCCTCACGCGCAGCGCGCACAAGAAGCTTGTAAGTTTGGCAGTGACCAACATGTTCAACAAGCTGGGCTGGCAAGTTGCCACAGAGCCCAAGAAGAACGTCGACTTCAGCGAAGTTTTCGACGTACTAGGCGTCAGGGTCGACCTCTCCAACCAGCACCTTGGAGAGATCTCTGTCAGGAATAAGCCGACCCGAGCAGCAGAGCTACCCTCTCACGAGGAAGCATGTCCCCGCTGGAAGCGCAAAGCTTGCGCGGAAGGCTCATTTTTGCTGAGCAGCAGGCCTGGGGCCGCAACACTCGCATGGCAGTGATCTGCGTAGGTGACGTGCCGGGGGAGGGCCCCGAGCAAGTCCCTCTCTCCGAGCAGCAGTGCCAAGCCATGGCTTTTCTGCTGCAGCGCGTGGTACACGGACCGCCACGGACAGTGTCCATCCACGCACGCAGGAAAGTCCACCTGTACATCGACGGGGCCTGCGAGTGGGAGACCCCAAGACTGGTGCCCAAGTGCGGCCTCGGTGCAGTGCTCATCGGTGAAGGTATTGCCTTTACCTGGGGGTTACAGATCAGCGCCCAGGTGGCAACCCAGTGGGTTGCCAGAACCCAGAAACAGCAGCTGGTGTACGAGTGCGAGCTCTTGCCTTGTCTGCTTAGCCTTCAGCTGTGGGCTAAGTACTTAGCAGGCAGTGACCTGTTTGTGTGGATTGACAATGAAGCAGCGCGTACGTCTTTGCACAAGGCCTTCACACGGAAGGCAGAAGGAGCTGCGATAGTTTCGCAAGCAGTTGATTTTGAAGAGTCCCTGCAGTGCAGGGCTGTACTTGTGGACTTGTCCACTGATGTTTTGCAAATGGAAAAACGGTTTCCTTTCTTTTGGTAAAACTGGAAAGTTTTCCTTTATTCGCTTTTGCCAGTGCCTGCATCTTCTTGCCTCAGTACATGTCGTGGAAGCTCTGTGCATCCGCACTCCGCTTTGGATCAAGTTGCAGCGAAGTCGCTTCGCAATTTTGACGTCGCTGCAGCGACGCGGTAGTACTGAGCCTGCTCCTGCAGAACCGCTGGGATCCCCGGCCAAGCAAGGCTCGGGATGGTCTGAAGCCTTCGCCCCCAAGCTTGATGCATCGCGTGTGGCCACGCTCAAAAAGCGTTTCTTGGAAGCCTTCCCATCCGAAATCTTGACGGCTATGAATACCCCATCGCTCCGCCTCTTGAGCACTGCTGTCGACGCCGAGGTTAAGAGGAACTGGTCTTGGATCCCGTGGAAGAGTCGCATGACACAACAGATGTATGAGGATTCCCTCATGCAGAAGCCCGCAAAAAGGGCCAGGATTGAGACCCTTCAGCTTTCGGACCTCTTGCTTGATGAACCGCCACAGATAGATATCAATGATTCCACCATGGGGATTTCGATGATCCGTAGGCTGTTGGAGGTGCATGACAAAGTGCCCTCGCTCTTGCAGGCACCGCGCATCTTGCGCGCCTCAAAGCTTACACTTCTAAGTTTTTGAGCCTGGTTTCGCAAAAATTCCCGCCTGAAACAAACCTTCGGCCCCCCTCTGTGCTGGAAGCTCAGCAGGCGGACAAACACTTGTGGTCGTGCATCTTTCAGCTAGTGATCGAGAAAGAGTGGCAGGTGAACGATGCGATCTACGAGTTCACGGAGATCCGCGGCGATATGTCGTCATGGTTGCAGCCCCGCGCCAAAGCTGCCTCAGCAGGCAATCGTAGGCCGTATACACCGGGCGGCCGTGACAGGTGAAAAAATTGTGCATTGGGTGGCAGATCGGGAAATGCCAGCGTGGCAATTCCTGCGAGTTCACGCACGGCTGCGCTTTCCCTAAGCCCGATGGTTCACCCTGCCTTAGCAAGGACCACGGTGCGCCTCAGCACCCTGAGAAGTGACATCATGCGCCCGACTCGCCACCCCCAAAGGTGCTGCCGGGTCCATCCACAGCTGGGGGGAGCTGCCTGCTCCCCCGCCACTGCCACCGCCGATTCCACCATCGCAACAGCAAGCCCCCCGGGGCTCGCAAGTTTTGGACTTCAGCTTTCCGCCACTGCCGCCACAACCCCTCTCTGCCGATAATACAGTTTCTGTGTCACCGCCTCAGGAGGCCGTACCCTCCGTGCATCATACTGTTTCAGTGCCTTCGGGGGACGTTGCCCCCTCCACATGCACTTCAAGCACTCCCATTGAGCCGATTCCGCCCGCCAGCGGTACCGCCCTTTTGGGTCGCGCACTTGAATTGTCCAATTTCTGTGGGCCGGCCTTGGCAGGCCTGTTCGATTCGATTGCATTTTGTGCTCACTGCGGGAAGCCCCTTGGCCCCAACAGGTTCGCCGCGCTCACATCATTTCCGGTGCCTCTTCTGCTTCAGGCTATTTTAATTTCGGGGTTCAGCTTTCTAAGCGCTCTTCGCTCACTCAGGTTACCACCGCCCTGCCTGAGCTTTGCAGGGACCTGAATGCCCTCTTCAGGTTTCTCTTTCCAAACGAGCACTGGAACGCTTTGTGTGTCTCGCGCAATGGCCTCAGTGCGCTGCATTCCGATTCAGCGAACATTCCTGGCTCACGCAATTTGTCACTCTCGCTGGGCGCCTTCTCGGGTGGCCATCTGTGGATTGAGGACCTCTCCTGCCTCGCGCAAGGCCAGCCGATATCAGTTGCATCTGGCTCGGGCTGGCTGCATGGCTGTGCTGCTATCGACACACATCGCAAAGCCATCAGCTTCGATGGCCGCATTAGACACATGACACTTCCTTTCTCAGGAGAGCGTTGGGCCCTCACGGCCTTTTCCCTGCCTGACGTGTGTTGTGCCGAACTTGAGTTTCTGGGTTTCCCACTGCCGCCGCTGCATGCTATCACTGCCAACTTTCCTGCCGAGCTTTCAGGGGTTTTGCCCTTGGCGGAATTGTCCGTTTCTGAGGAAAAACCTGAGATTTGGCCTCCAGCAAAATTGTCGGTTTTTGAAGAAAAACCCGAGATTCCGCCCGGCCGCTTGAGAGGGGGTCCTGAGATCCGAGCAGGGATGTTGGCAGCTATCACTGCCTCACCCTCTCCCCTCTTGGGTTCTAGTCCTGCCCCTAAACCCTCAACCTCTCCCACCTCGCCCGCGGGGCTCGAGGAAGCAGACATCACTTCATCGCGCTTTCTAGCAGGGACGCACATTCAGGAAGATGTGCCACCCAGTGGGTCAGCATCCGATGTGTCCGCAGATGTCCCTCCTGCGCAGCATCTCCCTTCAGCACAGCCAATGCCCAGGGTACCGGAGGCCGCCTCGACTACTAAGCAGCACGAGCCTCAGTCGTGCAGGGAACATGCAGTCCAATCCAAGTCGGCATCGTCTAAGCTGCCACTGGGATGCAAACTGTGGGGAAAACGCTCCACGTCAGGTTTGTTTCTCTCCCACAAGCTTAGGGTTGCACGCCCCTTGTCACCACCGGAGGGCGCTTGGCGAGCTGATACTTGCATTTCTTCCCTCCCGGCGCGTCTTTTTCTCGAGATCACATGGAGCAATCATTCGCGCCATCAGCTTAGCATGGCTGTCCGTGCTTCAGGTGGAAACTCCCTCACCCTAAGCCCCAGCCTTGACCCGACCCTGGATGTCCTTTGCCCAGACCTCCTCGAGCAGGTCCTCTTCCTTTGCGGCTCGGGAGCTGTCGCGTATCTAGCAGCATCGCCCCTAGCCGAGTCAGCAGACTCGCCAGACGACGTGGGTTCCTCCTCGTGGCTGCTGTCGGCAATGCACGAGCAAACGGCGGCTGCAAAGGTTTCCCGTTGCACCTGGCTCCTCAGCATTGTACACACTGCCGGGGGTCAAGGGCATTTGGAGTTGCCCCCCACTTCTTCTTACTGGTCGTCAGAGCGGCCCCAGGCCTGGTTGCATCAGGGCAACTGTGCTCTGATCTTGGTACCCCCATTGCTGCGCTCAGACTCAGCTGTTCCGGGCCAGCCCCAGCTTTGGGCTGCTTCATACCGCCCGCTTTCCGCCCTGGCGGTCAGCTCGCCCGCCTTCGCTCCCCCGCAACGCGCAAATGAACTTGCGTCTTCGTTTGCTACGATCGCTGCCCCTCTGCTCCCGAGAGGGCCGCGAGCTCTCCCTGCAGTCAGTCATCACGTCTATTCCACGCAAAGGCCTCTTCGCAGGCCCACATGCACTTCATGATGGAGCTGGAAAACGCTCCATTGCCGATTGGAGCAGCCCTGCAAGCCATGATGCATTTCGGGGATTACGCAAAGCCCTGCTGCAATTCTGCATCTCAGCTCGAGCCGACAAACGCTTGCTTGCTCGCGGCTCCTGCCCGTCGACTGAACCGCTTTTCAGCTCTTCCGAAGTGTCCGCAGCCAGGGATCTGGTGTTTCCTTCGCTGGGTATGCAGACCCCGGACAACGCTTGGTATGTGCATCCATACCAACCCATGTGCTTGCACGCGTTTGAAGCCCTGGCACAACATTGTGGCGATCAGGACATTCATTTGTTTCCGCATTTGCGTATGGGTGTGCCGACCGGGTACTTAACTGTTTCTGGCCTCCCAAAGGCCAATCAGGGGAGCTGATTCCATTGGCGCTTAATCTTGAAAACTGGAAGTCGGCCGATGTGGCTCCTGAGGTCACTTCGCGCTTGCTCCAGGAGGAGTTGGACGCGGGATACTGCTTTAAGTTTGAGGGCACGCTTGAGGAAGCGAAAAGTAGATGGCCCGTGGGCCTAGCACTGGGAAAATTGGGGGTTGTTAGGGCACCGGGGAGGGCCGAACGGCTCGTGTTGGACAACAGCGTAGCTGGGACCAACTCTCAGTGCACAGTGCCGGAACGTCAATGTTTCCCGAGCATACACGATGTTTCGCATTCTTTCCCGATTCGCGAGACTTCCGACCGCCAGATGGCCATTTGCATTGATGTCAAGCAGGCGCACAAGCGCTGCCGCATCCGCGATTCCGAGCAGGGCTTGCTCGGCTTCACTTGGCAAAACGCGCTATACTTCTTTCGCTGCTGCCCATTCGGAGCAGTTTTCCTTTGCGCCTGTTACACACCCTGCTGTTCCTGGCCCATGTGGGCCTCCTATTCGTGGACGACTTCATTTTCAGCCAAGTGGCCAGCCTCATGCCGCTTTCGGGAGCTGTGATATGCCTTTTTCTTCAGATCTTGGGTATTCCAGTCAGTTGGAAAAAATCACAAATTTCTTGTCGGGTCGATTGGATAGGATGGCGGTTGTGCTTCTCTTCGGGTACGGTTAGTCTCAGGGAAGAAAAACGCTTGCGCCTCCTTGAACAAGTGCGTTCCCTTCTGAGGGGCGGTGGCCGTATTTATACCAAGGAACTGGAATCCTTTCTGGGCCTTGCCATGTGGGCCTGCGCACTCTTCCCCACTATGCGTGCCATGCTGCACCCTTTCTACAAAGACTTGTGGTCTCCGGCTGCCACTAATTTCAGCATTGCTCCGGAATCGTGGCATAGCATCTGTAATTTTCTTGATTCTTCACTTAGGTTTAAGGCCTCACCGCCTCACACTGCCATCCCCGCGGGTGCTAAGCTCCTCTCGGCTCGTCATGTGCCTTTCGCAACCCTGGCAGACTTGTCCAAAGTCGCCGTGACGCACAAAAGATTGTGGCTCCGCGTTGAATGCCTTAGCAGTTCGAGGCGGAAACTCTCGAGTGCCTCCATCCGCTCGTTGCAGGCCTTCGAGCGTTGGTTGCAACACGTTGCACCACTCGCCAGCATGCGCCCGTCACAGGTTGCAGACGTTGAAGTCTTTGCCGATGCATCGGCGTCCGGCCCATCTTGCAGTTTGGGGGGTTTTGTTTCTTGTCCGGTTCTAGGCCAGGTTCGGTTCGCGGAAACCTTTTCGGTCCAGGAATTTGAGGCCGCAGGCATTCCTTTCGGCAATGACTTGGCTAAGAAGATAGCCAGTTGTGAAGCCCTGGCTCAGGCGGGGCTGATTCATGCTCTCTCTAGGCTGGCTCCTTGCAGCAGGGTTCCTTTACGCCTTCCGTCCCTCTGCGATAACTCCGGGGCGGAGGCAGGTCTGAATAAGATGTTTTCCACAAAGCATCCCCTCGGCCTCGTTCTTGAACACATCGCCCTCCTGGCGGCCATGCATCGCATCTCTATCGATGTGTCTCATGTCCCAGGTGCCAAGAACTGCAAAGCCGATGCACTTAGCCGGCCGGCTGAGTACCCCACACCTCCAGACTGCCTTCCGTGCCAGCGCATACGCTTTGGGCTCTCTGCTCTCTGGGAGCCTCGTCCTGCGGTGCAGATTTTCCCTTCCAGCTTCACCCTGCCTTGGCTTCGCTGAAATCTGCCACTCCCTTCAGCCCACACTTCCTTGGCTTTCTTGAGCGTGCTGTGGGGTGGCAAATTACCTTGGTGCAACAGTGGCCACCCCACAGAAGGCATCCTCGGGTCAACCCGTTTCTATGCCTGGCACAGCCGATCTTTGCGATCCCATCGAAAAGTGAGTGGACCGAGTTCGGATTGCATTCATTTTCCGTTCTCGGGTTTAGGGTTTAGGATTTGGTTTAGGGTAACGGTTTTCCTTAGCAGAACGTACTTGTGGACTTGTCCACTGATGTTTTGCAAATGGAAAAACGGTTTCCTTTCTTTTGGTAAAACTGGAAAGTTTTCCTTTATTCGCTTTTGCCAGTGCCTGCATCTTCTTGCCTCAGTACATGTCGTGGAAGCTCTGTGCATCCGCGCTCCGCTTTGGATCAAGTTGCAGCGAAGTCGCTTCGCAATTTTGATTTCCCACCCGACCCGCCCTGTTTGTGCAACAGTCGCCACCCCACAGAAGGCATCCTCGGGTCAACCCGTTTCTATGCCTGGCACAGCCGATCTTTGCGATCCCATCGAAAAGTGAGTGGACCGAGTTCGGATTGCATTCATTTTCCGTTCTCGGGTTTAGGGTTTAGGATTTGGTTTAGGGTAACGGTTTTCCTTAGCAGAACGCTTTCTTTCGTGTCCCAACCGACAGCAACATTGCCGACGGACCCAGCAGAGACTGGTGGGAGGAAACGGAGAGGTTGGGCGCGCAGCGCCAGCACCTCCCGCCTAACGCAGTGCCGTTGGCTTTGTCACTCGGCGCGGACTAGATGGGGGGTGAGTAAGGCTTCGAGTGCCTTGAAGGGGGGTGAACCAGTCGTTCGCCTTACCTGCGACCAGCGGTCGTTCTTTTCAGACAGATGCCAGCGGCATCCTTCGTTTCAGTGCCCGAAGATCGGGCCCGAACTGACCCCCCATGTCCGCTAGGAGAAAAAAAGAGAGTGCTTGCACAAGGTTTAACTGCAGCGCGGTTAAGGGTTTCCCGTTACGCGCGCAAACGGAAGTTTCGTTGGGAAATAAGCTCCCATCATGCGTGCGTGAATGGGTTTTATTTCCCGCCGAAAGTGTAGACAAAGTTTTGTCGTAAAAGGAAAACAGTGTTTTCGCTTGCGTGTTGAGAACACTAGACAAACTTTGCCGTGCAGCTTTCGGCTTGAAGTGGATCTGTGATCCAAAAGTTTTTATCCCACCCACCACACCCTGTATAGTATGCGGGGTCTGGGACCACGCTTGTGGCAGCAGAGCTGTCGGAGCAGCGCTCCTTGTTCTATCTCTAGCAGAGATCTCATCTTCAGCACAGCGTGCTTTGCTGTACATAGGACGTAGGCCGTCAACAACGCAGAGTAGCTAGTAGTAATAGTAGACTGCAGCGACCCTGTGGGTCGAAGAAGGTTTCACCTTTGTCTCCAGTAGTACTGAGACACCCCTGGTATAGGGGGCAGGAGGGGGGTGAACCAGTCGTTCGCCTTACCTGCGACCAGCGGTCGTTCTTTTCAGACAGATGCCAGCGGCATCCTTCGTTTCAGTGCCCGAAGATCGGGCCCATTTGGTGGGATGCCCATCTGCACTCTCGCTGCCGTTCTGGTCTTAGTAGCGTTGGTTTGGGACAAGCCATGGCCACGATTCCGGAGAATCTTGTGGCAACCATTGTCACTTACGCCTCGATGCAGATACAGGTGCTCTTTGGGGCCCCACCATCGTCTGCCACTCGGCAGGTGCTTTGCGCCATTGGTACGCAGGAGCGCAAGGCTGCCTGCCTTGCGCTTCGGCAACAGCTCGCCGAGTGTCACCAACGTGTCTTTGCATGCCTGGCGCAGCGTAATCTCTATAGCTTCCGGGTTGCGACCGATTTCCAAGTGATCGTTCGACTGGGCCTTCAAGTGCGCACCACCATTGTTCAGCTCGACCTTAAGACTTTAGTGGTACTCGCTTCGTTGTCCCGCCTCGCCTATCGGACGGTTGCGGGGCTTTACGAGGGCTTGGACTTCTTCCGTGCTGCGGCCATCCAGTCTGCACTGATTCATACGCAGCCCTGGGCATTGGCATGGCCTACGCTGCGGGGGCTGCCCTACTTCTCCATGGAGCCGATGGGCGATCTCCCGCTTACGCGTCTGCTACCCCCGCTGCAGGCTTGCTATCCACTCGACATGTCAACTTCACTCTCCGCTTAGCCCTGTTCCTTGCGAGACCCACCCTGGTGGGAAGCTGGGTATGGGCAATTTTGCGTAGCGGGACCCCTTCAACCCTATGATGGGTGTTTGCTCCGTGACACCACTCTCAGCCTCGGCCCTTGCGATACCCACACATGGGAAGCTGGGCATATGCAGATGCAGGATCAGGATCTGGCTGGTTAACCAACATTGCTTTACCCTGCCGCACTGTTAGTTGCATTGTGCTCCTATTGTGCTGCCCTTGCGAGACCCAACATGCTGGGAAGCTGGGCACGGATCAAAGTGCTTGTGGTCGCTGGCTGATGGCAGGTGCGCTTTTGGGCGACCTCAAATCAATGCATTACTTTTCTGGCACGTCTGCACATCTGGGCAACTGCGAGGCGTGTCCGTGGATCTTATTTCTGTGTTAAGGAGCGAGCACACAATCGAGGGCTGCACGGCTGGTACATTGTAACTGAATGCCTCGTGCGTTCATTCTTGCCCTTGCGAGACCCACAACACTGGGAAGCTGGCCCGTCCTGCATTTTGCTACATCTGCCCTTGGAACATGCTGCATTGTGGCTGCTTGCACATTTACACTTCGTCCTGGCTGTACAACACCTGAGTGCAGCCGCGCTTAAATAGGCCGAACGATCCCCCATGGCTAAGTCTGCAAGTCGCGGCCGGTTTCACCCTTATGTGATTTTCTTGTACAGCTTTTATTGTCTTCTTGTAGTTCTTACTGGGGCCGAGTGCAGCAACTGCTGTCTTTGAGGCCCGCCCACGCCAAAAAAAGGCCCAGGCGGCCCTGGACACCGCATTGGCGCTCAGAGGGCCGGCGACGGCCACGACGCCGACATCTTGGCGCTGCAGAGCGCGGGGCCCTTTGCCCTACCCAGCAAGATCACGGCACTCCAGGCATCCATCGACGCCATCCTGGCGGAGCTCGCCACCCCTCGTCAATGCCCCAGCCTGGCCCCGCGAGATCACCTGGGACCTGCTCGCCGGGACGAATCAAATCCAGAACTTGCACGCCGTGGCGCCCCTGAGCATCCAGCTCGCCAACGACAACTGGACCCTGTCCCAAAAAACACTTTTGTGCTGGCCCACCCAGTGTATGCACTTTTGTGTTTGTGCAAACAAGGTTTGTTGGATTGTAGAAAGGGAAAAGAGAAGAGAAGAGCAGGGAAGATGCAAGGAAGGAGTTTTGTGTGTGCATGGAGAGGGTGGATGGCCGCCCGACTTTCGTGTACGTGTGTTTAATTCGGTGTTGTGCTTTTTCTGTGTGGAAAAAGCAGAGATGGAGCAGAAGGAGCTTTTTGTGTACATGTGTGGACTGTGAAGAGCCACAATGGTTCTCGAAAACAACCAGATTCGACCCCGTCGCAGTCGTGAGGAGCAGTCACGTCCATGAGTCCGGATGATGTCGTAGTGGAAAGATGTCCCCTCATCCCGGGTTTAGCGTTCAGGGTTATAGGAGTGCGCGAGCCTACGTTAAGGGGGAGTTAGGGCGTGCAGGAAATTTCTTGATGATCACTTGGTGGTCTAATTTCCCAGACCACTTTTTTTTCGGCAGGAGAGGCGAGGGTGGCTGATTTCGGATTTGGCAAAGGACAACTGAAAACAACAGCAGCCGTTGTACTGTTCTCATTGTACCCCACTACTAGCAAAAAACTGCCAGGTATGCTTGTTCCACGACTGCAACCATTCCTACGACTGCGACTGCTGCTACTGCTACTGCTTGCACAACCACCGTCACACACTTGTGGTTTCGAAGCTAAACTGAAAACAGTGCGACAAACACGAGCTGTAGCCGCTACAGTGACCATGGAGTCTGGTTCTTGTGTCAGGTATGGGCCTGCGCATGTACGGGTGTAACCAACATGGGTAACGGCAAGGATTCGAACGTGGGAACCCCAAGAATGCCCCCACCCCACCCCGCCCCACCCCACCCTACCCCTGACAAACCCTAGCTGATGCTCCGATGTTGCGTCCCCCCATGACAAGTTTCTGTCCCCCCTCCCTCCGAAACCGTTCCTGCCCTGCACCCTCGCTTCCTACATCCTCTAAGCACTGGGTTGATTGGATGTCCTTTGGGTCTCTGGGGGCCTTTTGGCTTGGGTTGTGCGCTGGCGGGGGTGGTGGTGTCACAAGTAGACGGTGGCACAAGTTGGTGGCACGGAAAGGTGTTGGTGCACAACGTCTGGGGTGCAAAGCAAGCTTGAGAAGGCACCACCTGGTGGTGGCACAAGTTTGGTGGCGGAAGTTGGTGGCGCAAGTGGTGGCGCAAGTGGTGGCGCAGGTTGGTGGTGGCAGACAGGCGTTGGTGCACACATTCTTGGGTGCTAAGCAACTTCATGGATGCACCACCCGGCGGTGGCACAAGTGGTGGCGCAAGTTGGTGGTGGCGCAAGTGGTGGCGCAAGTTTGGCACAAGTTGGCGGTGGCGCAAGTTTGGCGCAAGTTGGTTTGGTGGCGCAAGTTTGGCGCAAGTTTCGGCTCTTATTTAAGAGCAACTTGCGCCAAACTTGCGCCAAGCCAACTTGCGCCAAACTTGCGCCACCAAAACCAACTTGCGCCACCACCAACTTGCGCCACCACACTTGCGCCACCACCAACTTGCGCCACCACTTGTGCAACCACCGGGTGGTGCATCCATAAAGTTGCTTTGCACCCCAGAATTTGTGCACCAACGCCTGTCTGCCACAACCAACTTGCGCCACCACACTTGCGCCACCACCTGCGCCACCACCTGCGCCACCAACTTGCGCCACCAAACTTGTGCCACCACCAGGTGGTGCCTTCTCAAGTTTGCTTTGCACCCCAG